GATTCTATTGTTTATGATTTCTTAATATAAAGAACCTATGGGGTCGGTGGAAGGGTGGTCAAAACTGTTGGTTTTCAACCGCGACGACCTGGGATCAAATCCCACATTGGGCACTTTTTTCTGATAAAAAAAATGCTTCAATGGCCCCCCCAATTATTGCAAAAGTCCAAACCCACCAGCGAGTACAAGTAACCAAACGGGGCTCTGGCATATTTGTAAGTGCAAAGTCGAACTGCTTTTCACATGTGTAGACATTTACAGTAAAAGCACTCGCCAACTTCTACCCACCATGATTATCATGGTCTGTACCATGTGTACTAAGGATAAACAAAAAAAAAAAGAACCTCATTATAAAAATCATTGTTATAACAGTAACTATAACACATCTAAATAAAAGTCACAAGTTTCAACCATGGTGTTATAACACCATAAAATCTTGATTCCCAAATGATGTTTTAATTGTTGGAATATTCCACAGAGTAACAATGGGTATAGATGAGAGCTCATGTTTGTAAAGGATCTCTGAGTGTATTTTTTCAAACTCTAATGTTTAGCAACATTAGAAACAAAAGATAATAAAACCAATATCTTTTGCTTATCTCTAGTACACGTGGTACAGGCCATGATAATCATGGTGAGTAGAAGTAGATGACTGCTTTTACTGTAAGTGCACCACATCTCTACACACGTCTAAAGCAATTCGACTTTGCACTTACAAATGTTCCAGAGCCCCGTTTGGTTACATGCACTCGCTGGTGGGGTTGTACTTTTGCAAGAATCGGGAGCCATCGGAGCATTTTTTTTTTTAAATAAGAAAAAAGTGCTCAATGCGGGAATCAAACCCGGGTCGTAGTGGTCAAAAACCAACGGTTTAAACCATCCTTCCACAGACCCTCTAATAAGACCAATGTTTTTGTGGAATGTTGGATTTGGTGTTATTACCTTTTGTTTTAAACCTATATAATCCAAATTGTACCTAATCATTTAAATAATATTGTTTTTATATTCTGATTAATAAAATCTTTACTAATTTATTGGGGGATTTTAGCTAAGAGAGCAAAAATCAGCTTCAATTATCTGGAAACCCAATTCTCAGTGTCTGCATTTATCATTTATCCCTATTAGCAATACAGTAGAACCTCCCTGTAAAGGACAACACCTAGTTACAGAGCCAAAGTGTCCTTTATGGAGAGGTGTCCTCTTACCAGAGAGTTGCTAATTGGTAAAAATGTTATTTTGCAAATGAAAACTGTTCTTTGTAGAGAGGTATCCTTTAGCGTGAGTGTCCTCTCATGGAGGTTCTACTGTAACAATAGTCCCAATTGTTATAATTATGTGTGGTTTTCAATGATCAGTGTGGTGCCTAGATAATCAAAAGTTAAGATTTTTATATGGATTTGAGTATTTAAGAGTATTTTAAATACACATTTGATAAAGCACAATTTGGATTATAGATACAAGAAAATAAGACCTAATCCAAATAATTTAATAGTGACATTTCGGCAACAGCCGATTATTCTTTTGTCTGATGATAGTAACAATGCTGTTGCCAAAACGTCACACACTATTAAATTATTTGGATTAGGTCGTATTTTCTTGTATAAATACACATTTGTTAATTAGGACTACAGATCCTAAGCACAGCTGGTACAGTGGAGTGGACCCAGGAGGAGCTCTGAACCTCAGACAGCATCAAACAACACTAATAAGATTTAGAACAGACCATCTCAAACTATTGAAGATAGAAAATAATAACAAAATCTTGCCCAAAATGTAGCTTGGTACCTGCAGCTCCAGAACACATTTTGGCTTGCATTAGTTGCACTAAACAGGACCTTTGGGAGAGGCCTCTGCTTATCATAAAACAGCTTGAGGAGCATGAACTCATGAATTTGTGTAATCTTTACACAAGAGGATAAAAAAACAACAGGACAACAAATAATTGGGATTCAGAGTAAATATACCACAGAATTAAGATGTGAGTATTCCCAAGGTAATAAGATCAAATCCAAATAAATAAATAAATAGTGTGTGACGTTTCAGTAACAGCGTTGTTACCATCTTCAGACAAATGTACTGAATGAGAAATTTTACCACAGCATGTTTCAAATAGTTACTGTTATCAAGTGTGTAAACAAGATAGCCGATAAGAAGAAGATAGTTTTCTGAGAAACACAGATAAATGCTGTTGTAAAATTTCTCATTCAGCACATTTGTCTGAAGATGGTAACAATGCTGTTACTGAAACGTCACACACTATTTATTCATTTGGATTTGGTCTTATTACCTTGTGTTTATAATCTATAATCCAAATTGCGCCTTATCATGTGAGTATTCCATTCAAATCTCCCATAAAGGAAACTTGTAGCTCCTCAATGTTCTTGTGTAGTCCAAGATGGAGATATGGGGTAGAGTTCCTGACACTCAGAAATATGCTATTATTTTAATTATCCCACAAGTATACATCGTACAGGACAGTTGCAATTAAAGATAAGAGGTGAATAATGTAATTGTACTGGGATTTTATTTTTTTTATTATCCCTACTACATGTGATACAGGCCATGATAATCATCGTGGATAGTTAGCGACTGTTTTTACTGTAAGTGCACCACATGTCTATACAGGTGAAAAGCAGTTAGACTTTGCACTTACAAATGTGCCAGAGTCCCGTTTGGTTACTTGCACTCTCTGGTGGGATTGGACTTTTGCAAGAATTGCAGGGATTATTGGAGCATTTTTTTTTTTTTTTTGAATTAGAAAAAGTGACCAATGCGGGATTTGATCTCGGGTCATAGAGGTCGAAAAGCAATGGTTTAGACCATCCTTCCACTGACCCTCCTATTTTATTGTTGAATTTCCAAAACTGGAAAAGAGATAGATTTGTTCTCGATACAACAATCTTGTGAAAAAAAGAGGAAAAGCTCTCCTAAATTTACATATTAGCTAAGCAATTGATTTCAATTTAGTTTCTATTTACAAACATACAATATGCAAATTTAATCACAATATTCATAGTAGGAATACAATAGAATCTCCCTTTAGCGGACACCCCGCTAGCGAACACCATTCTACAAAGGACAGTTTTCATTTGTAAAATCATCATTTTCACTATTTAGTAACTCTCTGGTAAGAAGACACCTCTCCCTAAAGGACACTTTGGCTCTGTAATTAGATGTTGTCCTATACAGGGAGGTTCTACTGTATATGGTAGAGCAGACCCTCCTGCCACAGAAATATTCTTTTCACACATCCCGCAAGTATACATCGTACAAAAAAAAAATGCTCCAATGGCCCCTGATTCTTGCAAAACTCCAACCCCACCAGCAAGTGCAAGTAACCAAACGGGGCTCTGGCACATTTGTAAGTGCAAAGTCGAACTGCTTTTCACATGTGTAGACATGTGATGCGCTTACAGAAAAAGCAGTCGCTAACTATCCACCATGATTATCATGGCCTGTACCACCACGTGTACTAGGAATAAGCAAAAAAAAACACATTGTACAGAACAAAATATTGTCACAATTAAAGATAAGACAGGCACAATGGTATCGTACTGGGACCTGCCTAAGAACTGAGAAACTGAAGAAGACTTTTTGATAGAATAAATGAAGAAGTAGATCTGTAAATAAGGTACAATTTTGATTACAGATAAGAAACCACATACAAATAAGGTCTCTTCTTCTTCTTTCTTATCTTCACTCAATCATATTAGGGTATCAAGCTTGTAAAGTTTGAGATCATGTCTGGGTGAAGTAGAACAGTCATTAAGACTGGGAGCACTACTCAGTGGCAGGCCGACTTAGCTCCGAAATAAATGGCCGCCTCTGACATGAGGAACAGACGCCATGTGCAGCCGCTCCTAACATGGAGTACAAACGCTGCTCATCCTGTATCCCTGGATTAGGAGCCCTTACAGGGTACTATCAGCCGGGCCAGCTGAGCCCAGGTTTTTTATTGAGCTTGTTACTGCTCCCCCTCCTCCTTTTTCATCCGGGCTTGGAACTGGCAAAGGCGGAAGGTAAGAAGACCAAATCCAAATAATTAAACTGTGTGTGACATTTCAGTGACAGCATTATTACCATCTTCAGATATAAAGTACTGAATGTAGTACAGTACACTAGAATCTCTCTGTAAAGACAACACTTAGTTGCAGAGTTAAAGTGTACATTGGTGTGCTCTTACAGGCTATCAAGCTCTAGTGATTTGATACCCTGATATGTTTGTTGAGAGGAGATAAGAAAGAAGAAGAGAAGTAAACACAAGGTAATAAGACCAAATCCAAATAAATTAATATTGTGTGACGTTTCGGTAACAGCATTGTTACCATCTTCAGACAAAAGTACTGAATGAGAAATTTTACCAAATACCACAATTTAAACCATGCTGTGGTAAAATTTCTCATTCAGTACTTTTGTCTAAAGATGGTAACAACGCTGTTACCAAAACGTCACACAATATTTATTTATTTGGATTTGGTCTTATTACCTTGTGTTTATAATCTATAATCCAAATTGTGCCTTATCAAGAAGAAAAGTAATTTTTATGAAGTGAAAACTGTCCTTTGTAGAGGAAGAGGTGCCCTTTAGCAAGTGTCCTCTAATAGAAGTTCTTTTTTATTTATCCCTAGTACAAGTGGTACAGGCCATGATAATCATGATGGGTAGTTAGCAACTGCTTTTACTGTAAGTGCACCACATGTCTACATATGTGAAAAGCAGTTCGTCTTTTACACTAATAGAAGTTCTACTGTACTCAAATTCATTACTTTTGTCTAAAGATGGTAACAATACTGTTACCAAAACATCATATACAGTTTAAATTGTAAGGCACAATTTGGATTATAGCTTATAAAACAAGGTAATAAGACCAAATACAAATAAATAGTGGAATAACTTCTTAGGTCCATTATATACTACTAGCCGAATGACCCGGGCAACGCCCGTGTTTTACCCGATTGAATGTTTTGATTCAAATACTATTTGTTACAATTATAAATTGTGGTCATGTGGCCTAGTGGTCATGGCATCTGCCCGGTAAGCGGAAGGTAGTGGGTTCGATTCCCATCCCTTGACACTTTTTTTATTTTATCCATTCTGACCAAAATCTATCCGTGAACTTCACACAGACAGAATAAATTATATAAGTAGATTTATTTATTTGGATTTGTTATAAAACTTCAATATTCAGATTCCCCAAGATATATTGGTGTCACACTCGACCCTGCGCTCACTTTTAAAAAACATATTGACACCATGATAAGCAAAGCCAAAAATAGGCTCAAAATCCTGAAAAAAATATCAGGCTTAAACTGGGGTGCAAATGCCAATATCTTACGCACAACGTACCTTGCACTCGTAAGACCTATTTTGGAATATGCTACACTAGCCTGGATCAATGCAAGTAAAACTAACCTATCCAAAATAGAATCCAAGCAAGCGCAGCTAAAATCATCAGCGGACTTCGAGGATCCTGCCCAAATCGCATTGCTGAACTCGAATCCAACCTTCTTCCCCTGCACCTAAGGAGAAAAATCTGCTTTTCAAAATTTATAACAAAAAAGATCAACTCTCCAAAAGAACATCTTACAGGAAAATTTATAAGAAATTGGGTCCCAAACCAAAGATTAAAACGCCCCACTCCTCTTAACATGGCTCACAACTCTAATCTTTTAGACATCCCAATTAATCCCAAACACAGAACTTCCTATCCCCCACACAAAACTCGCAACAAACTCATCTGTTTCCCTCATCTGCCAGACAATCCCCACAAACATGAAACTCAGCCAGAATTACTTAAAGCTCTTGGCCTCCAAATCATTGAGGAAAACAGCTCCCTCTTCGACATCACAATTTACACTGACGGTAGCCAACTTGAAACTGGACTGTCTGGCAGTGGAATTGCTATCTACAAAGATAAGATCCTGGAAAAAATCTGCCTCTCCCACCCTAGACATCTTTCAGTTTATAAATCAGAACTCTCTGCTATAGATACGGCTCTAAAAAACATCAACATCAACTCGCCAAGCAAAATAATAATCTACTCCGACTCAAGAGCAGCCATTTATACCCTTCAAAGCTGCTTCTCCAGTCAAGAACCCCTCCTCAAGAGCATTGCTAAGTCTGTAAACCGACTCCCAGCCAACAGCTCAGTCACAGTGCAATGGCTTCCAGCTCACGTTGGAATTCCTGGTAATGAGCTGGCAGACTCTCTGGCAAAGGCTGGTGCTCTTGGCCTACCTGAAGCAAGAGAATCCACCACCCAACTAGACGAAAGAGACCTCCTCCGTACCATCAAAACCCAATGCCTGCAGGAATGGAAATCTGATGCTGCACATGACTGGTACAGAGCAGGAGGGACAAGCACCGGTTCTGTCCTCCCAAGAGAACAACAGTCTTTGATTTCCAGACTTAAGTCTGGTCATCTACGGACAATGACTTTCCAGAATGGTTGCAAGGTTTTCCCACTATGTACCAAGTGCAATTCTCAGCCTGCAACTCCAAGACATATTATTGACTGTATTGACTCATCCATTGATGAGCTCTACTCTTCCCCGGCAGACACCATCAAAAATCTCAAGCTTTACAGGCTTGATACCTTAGTGTGATTGGGTGGAGATAAGAAAGAAGAAGAAGAAGAAGACCTTGTTATATATTGTTTAATTATTTGAATTTGGTATTGTTAGCTTATGTAAATGTGTAAATAAGTATGTTAACATCTAGTTTATACCTTGTAGTGGATAACAATGGGGGTGATAATACAATAAAGACAATAGGTAAAACGATATAAAGAGAGATAAACTTTTATTATATTCATTTCTGCTGTGGTTTGGTAGCATGGACCATTTCCATAATGATATCAGATACTTGGTCTAACTCAGCTTTCTGTTTGGTCATCTTAATCACTGTTGTCTTGAGGGAATAGAGAATATTTGGATTGCCATTGTTATGGAACTTGCGTATATGGTTTGGATGTGAGTTAACTACTTGTTGGCACAAGTCACGCAAGATTTTCTCATCTGTTAAAACATCCCATCCTTTGTCAGCTATCAATTCTGTTAGAGATTGTTGTGGGTTCATTTTCAATATATCTAATGTTGGTTTAACTTTAGTTGTATGAATTTGACGATTGGTAAGTAATTTCACTAATTCTGCTAATTTATCTGCTGGGATTACATTAGTATGACCTGTATATTTCTTATAATACATTATCAGAAATTCTGCAACTGATTTTGCTGGTAAATCCATTATAGACATGATATCCATAAACATATCAAAGTATTCTTCATTAACAATCTGTACAATAAGATCTTGTGGTAGTTGGTAATCCATAGATAATATTCTACGTTCATCTTTAGGTAATCTAGGTAGGGTGAAACTATCAATGTTGACAAGATGGCTTCCAATGGGATCATTCTTATCAACAAGACGAAGAGGAGGCAATGATGGTTCTGGCATGAATCGATAATCTAGAACAACTTCCTTATCTCTGAGAGAGATAGTTTTTTGTGATGCTTTATCAAAGGAACGAGTTTCATTTATCACTTTCCCTCCATTTTCTAATACTTTAATTTGTCTTTCAATTTCATAATCAATTGCACGTGCAAGCATTTTGATACTGTTAAGATTTTTCAATTCAGTACGAATGCCCCAGGGTTCACCAGGTTTGTTAACTGAGATATTAGCATCAATTCTTAATCCACCTTCTTCCATCATACAAAGACTTGAACCAATTCTTCTTAATATTATTACAAGTTCTTTTACAAGACCATAGGCTTCTGTACCATTTGTAAGATCAGGCTCAAATACAAATTCCATTAAACCCATTCCTGCTCGGTTTAAATCCACATAACAAACATTATCTTGAATACTATTAATTGTCTTTCCAGAGTCTTCTTCAAGTTGTATTTGTTTAATACAAGATTTATAAGAATATGGTCCGATATTTTCATATTTATTAAAGACTTCAAATTCTAGATAACCATTACTTGCTATTGGATTACTATTCTGTGTTACTTGATAACCTGATGGTAAATCTGGATAGAAATAATGTTTTCTTTCAAAATGAGATACTTTATTTAATGTACAGTTAAGTGCTTTCCCAGCTCTAACTGCTGCTTCAACACATTCTCTATTTAAAACTGGTAAAGTTCCTGGTAAAGATGCATCATAATAGGAAACTTGTGTATTTGGTGGTGCACAAGGTTTTGTTGAAGAGTTTGAAAATAATTTTGATTCTGAATTTATTTGTGCATGAATTTCTAGGCCTACTACACTTTGCCAACTTCCCAGACTATAATGACTAAATGCGGTATATAATGGGTTATAAATAGATTTTACATTGCGTAGTGAAATTGATTTTAAGAAGGCCATTTTAGAATTTGTTTATAAAAACTATTATTTTATGCGAGTGACCAATAAAGGAAGTGCGAATTATATTAAATTCATTTTATATAAGCGATTAATAAGCGTAAAATATATTAATTAAAACAGTTATCGTATAATTGATTTAATATAGACAAATATCCAACTAAATTAAGTGTTTTAATAATTATTTAAATGGTTTTAAAAGCGTAGAAAATAAAATATAGAGAAATACTTGCCTGTTTACAGAGGGCGCTTCATAAATTGTAATCAAAACAACAGAAGAAATTTCTATGAAGGAATATTTTGAGATGATAAAAAAAATACTAATTATCCTATAGAAATTAATTTGAGAAAAATACACTTTATGATGTTTAAAATTAAATGTAAAATATTTTATTACAAAATAAATTATCCTTTTTATTATTTTTACTTTTTATTATACTTTTTTTTTCTACTGAAATAATTTCAAATTCTAACATATAGGGATTGTCCCAAAAGTAATGAGCCTCATTATTTTCCCACGCGACTCTCCCGCGCACACCTGCGCGAACGGGTGGAAGTGTTGGGGAGGAGGGACTCTAAGCTTGCCAGGGACGCCAGATTCAGTTGCATATGAGCCTCTCGGAGCTGTAGGAGTCATTTTAGTGAGCCTCCGCGCAGAACCTCGTCATGGTTAGGATGGAGAGAACTTTGAAGCAACGCTATGCGATAAAATTTGCGTCGAACTTCAAAATGCGAGAAAGGAAACGTTTGATTTGCTCACTCAGGTCTTCAAGGATGATTGCTTGTTGTATTCGCAGGTCAAAAAGTGGCACAAGTTGTTAGAGGTGGCCATGAGGTCCATCAACTTTGCGAAGGACGATAGTGTAGATTTGCTGAACAAAGACCGCCGCGTTCGTTCAATGTACAATTGAATTTGCCGAAAATGAATGTTGATGTTCATCAAATTGTTTCAGAAGACTTGGCAATGCGTAATATTTGCTGAAACTTGAACCAAAAGTCTTGTCCTGCGCTCAAAATAGCAGCGCGGGGAAGTATGCAACGAGGTGCTTGAACTCCGTTAGGAGGGCCCAAATTTCCTTGACTACCATCATACGAGGTGAGTCATGGATCTTTGAATACTGATCATGAGACGAAAATGCAAAGTGCAGAGTGACACGCGACTTTGTCACTGCGTCTGAAGAAAGCAAGAATTAGCAAGTCCCATGCTGTTTTTGAGCGTTGGACAATACTTTGGCACAAGTTTCGCGCAAATCTTACCATGGTTGAAAAAATTCGATGAACATCAAAATTTTTTGCGTAAAATTTAATTGTTCTGACATCAAGCACATACTCAATTATTCGGCGGCCTTTGTTCAGCAAATCTCGGCATATGAGTGACACTACTATCCACTACTATCGTCTGTTCGCTAAGTTGATAGACGCCCAGAATGGGCCTCATCGGCCACTTCTTCCTGGCCTTCCTTTTGACACTTTTTGATCTGCGAGAACGACAAGAAATCATCTTTGAATGCCTGAGTGAGCAAATCAAACGTTTCTTTCGGCGTCTTTTGGAGTTTGACACAAATATTCTTTGCATAGCCTTGCTTCAAAGTTCACTCCATCCTAACAATGATGAAGCTCTGGGCGGAGGTACACTAAAAATGATGTCCCACCGCTCTTGTACGCAACTGAACCTGGCGTCGCTGGCAAGCTTAGAGTCCCCCTCACCA